GGCCGGCCCCAGATTCTACAGGGAAGGCAGAGCAGCCCTTTCAACCCACCCATCCCACGGAAATCAGGCATGACTCAGCACAGGCAAGAGCCTATTTTTAGCTTCTTCCAAGCTTTGAAATTTTACATTAATCCTTTCAGTTCTAGCCCCAAAATCGGCGTCCCCTTCCTCCTGGCAAGCCATTCCCCCTCCAGGACCCGGGATCGCTTCTGCCAAAACCCAGCCTGGCTCCGAGGAGGGCACACGTTTTGGCCGCTGCCAGGCGAGCAAACACTGCTCCAGGAGGGGAAATGGTGGCATCACGAGTTCAAAGGAGCCACACGGGGCTGTGTTTACACACCTGAGAAGTTTGGCCTTGGACCTGTAGCACCGGCACCGGAGGCGGTTGGAGCAGGACATCACATGCTCAGGGGGGGAAAGAGCCAAGGCATGAGCTGATCCTGCTCTCCACAGTTTCTCCAGAGGAGAAACTCCCCGAAGTGGATGACTCCCAGCTGGCAGCTCAGCCCCACACAGCTGCTTGTTCACTCCCCACAGCGGGACAGCGGGACGGGGAGAGATCCGGAGAGGAGAAGTGAGAAAAAAACTCACTTTTATCTTGGGTTGAGATAAAGAGAGTTACAAAAGTGAGGAATGCAAAACAAGGAATTCCTTCCCCACTTCCCCTCGCAGGCAGGTGCTCAGCTGCTCCCGGGAAAGCAGGGATCCGGCACACAGAGCTTTGGGAAGACAAATTCCACCACTCCAAACATTCCCACTTCCCCTCTGCCCCCTCAGACCCCGCTGGCAGAGCTACCCCAGCACAGGATGGACATGGAGCTACAGGAAAGATGGAGAAAGACTGTTTGCAAGGGATGGAGTGATAGGACAAGACATAATGTCTTCTTAAAGGCCCCTTCCAACCCAAACCACTCCAGGATTCCATGACTCTTTCCCTAACTTTATATGACTGAGCATGGTCTGGAATATCCCTCGGGTTATTTGGGATCAGCTGTCCCAGCTGTGTCCCCTCCCATCTTCCTGTGTCCTTCCAGCCTTTCCAAGCAGGAAGGGCCTTGAGGTTGTGAAGCCCTGCTCAGCAATACCGAAAACTTCTTGGGGTTAACAGCACAGATGCAAAACACTGTGAGCAAAATTAACCCCACCCCAGCCAAACCAACACACTGGAAAATTCAGCCGAGGGAAAAACGAGATACACAAGATAGAAATTAAAATGCATATTTGCCTGGAGAATGTATCCATGTGCTTTGAGAAACCTGGGGAGAAGATTCGATGTGCCCTCACCCCTGAAAGGCAATTTTTTAATTTGCTTTTTGCAGCTGTGTGAGGAGGTGGAACAGCAGCAGCTTCGTGGAGTCTCACCACACAGATATTCAACCTGGGATGGGACTCTCCAAGGTTAAGCAAAAAGCTGGATTTTCTCCATCATTTCAGCCCTCAGACCTGCTGAGCCAGAGGTTTGTGCTCCAGTTTCTGCTCCAGTTTCCAAGCTGGCCAGGGCCTTGGTTTGGATGCAGAACCTGGGCTGCAGCTTTCAGTCTGCAACACCCTCACCCCTCTCCTCCAGCCCAGAGCTCCTTTTAAGTCCTGGTTCAAGGGGAGGAAAAGGAGGAGGGAAGGGAAAGGGGTAGATCTCAGCTGAGACTCTGCACTTACTGCTAATTTTCACTTTGTGCCAGGGGGAGGAGAAGGATTTAACCCTTTCCTCTGCATTCTCAGAGGCAGAGAAGCTGCCTCAGGGAAAGTGAAGGGAGAGAGGGTGACAAGATCCATCTGCTTGCCCTGAGCATCCCCCAAACCCCAAAGACAAGGCAGGCAAAGGGAGAGAGGACAGAAGTCTGAGCAGCCATACCCACAGATGGGGGAAACCGAGGCACGGAGGGGCAGAGAGGTTTGCCCAGGCTTGCCCAAGTGCACTGTGGAGCTGAGCTGTCTTCTCGTGAAGTTCACAGCCTGCAAGGCCTTTTTTTTTTTAAAGAGGAATTTAGAATTCCTGAGACAAATGATTCATTTGGCCAGAGTTGGGGAGGGTGGTGTGTGTTGGGGGGGAAGGTCAAAATTATCGTGAGGCCTCAGATCCCTGCCAGGCACAAACACAGACTGAGAGGCAGAAAAAACCCCAAAAACAAAACCAAAAACAAACAAACAAACAACAAACCCGAAGGTAAAACCTGAACGTTGTTGTTCAGAAATAAAACACGAACAGTCACGTACCCCATCACCTCCCCGGGGTGTGCTGAGGGTCACAGTTGCACGGAAGATGCTCTGGGAGGGGAGATTAGAGCCTCCTTCACCACCCCCCCCTCAAAGTGCCTAGCAAGGATGCTTGACGAGCAAACAGATGCTGTGTCAGACAGGACACGGGTATTTCAGGGCTCTGAACCGTCCAGCACGTGCCACAGGAAATTCTTGTGTTAAGTTACCCACCGACAGTGGTTGATAAAACCGAACTTCCCCAGCCACCAGCCGTTTATTGCACCCTCCTCTGCGGGCAGCTTGGGCTCCAATCTCCCTTCTCCCCCCCGGCCAGGGAGCTGGAGACCAGCCAAGCTCCTGCTCAAACCCTCACGCTTCGTTTTGTTTTTCCACTTGCAGCAGAGCTGAGCGAGCAAAGGGAGGGATTCTGTACCCCAAAAACCACGGTGGGTCCATTCTTCTCCCTAACGTGCTCGTGTCGTGCTGCGGCCTCCCCGAGGGCCTCCTAGTTTGGAGGGAGCTGTGGGATGAGCGGGCTGCGGGTGATAAGGATGGGGAGCTGCTGCGAGGTCTGTCCTTGGGCGATAAACACGCACCCCTTTCTCGCCCGTGCCCAGAGCCTGCCCAAAAATCTGCCTTAAATGGAAGCCCTGGCACTGCCGGGATGGAAATTCTTGCTTGGAGAACAGTGAAGTGCCAGCCCGGGGGTGTCCCACCCCTCGGGATAGCCGGGGAGTGGGAGAGGAGCATCCCGACCCTGCTCCGGAGCTTAAATCCCCACGGGCTGGAAACAGAGCCGCCTTTGTTTGGAGCTGCCTAAAGACGTTATCTCTGCGGTTTATCAGCGCAGATAACTCAGGGCAATTCTGTTAATGGGGAGGCTGAGAGGGAGGGACAAAACACTGCGGCTTCCTAGCAAGTGTTTGGGGCCGGCAGGGTGAGCCCTGGGGGCTGAGAGTTGATCTCCCCCTGCCCCGGGATGCGGCTGAGGGACCAGTTTAAACTGTGGGGCAAACTGGGATACCCCGTTCCCGCTTCCCACCGAGCCTCTTCCCACCTGAGTTTGTGCACAGACACTTCCCTGGAGAGCATCAGGTTGACTTTTCAGAGAAAGGACAAACAGGCTCCTTCCCCGTCCCATTTGCATGTGCAAATGCAGTGGACTAGCATTTAGTCCCAGTCCTAGAACTAAATCTAGTTCTAGTTCTGCCCTAACTGAAAAATTAGCTGTTCTCTGAGGACCCAAATGACCTCAGCTGAAGTCAGTGGTATCCAGAGCACGGGACACATGGTTTTGGTTAAACAAAAGGCCCTGCATACTTTTGGGGCTTGTAATAGAAGCACCCACCCAGGAAAAAGGCGGGAATTCTCCCTCTCCTTGAAGTCACACTTCAGCTTCATCCTCTCGGGCCACGGACAAGCTGAATAATTCTCCCTGAAAAGAGATAACCAGGTGTCCATTGCCAGGTGGAATTACCAAAGGGAAAGTGCTTCCCAAATATTCACATCCCGAGTGGATTAACTCCAACCCTACTCATCCTGTTGGATGTGAGGAGCCTCTCTGCCCTTCTCCCTGCCTGCTGCTGCTGCCCCATTGACACCCAGACTGTCAGTCGGCTGAGCCCTTCCCCCCGGTGAGCAGCGTTTCATCTGCTCAGCAGCATTTTTTCTGTAGCCCTGGCACCCCTTTGGAGGCTCTTACCTGCTGATTCCTCTGCCTCGGGCACTGCTTAGGAAATGCGGCACTAAAAGTGATTTATACACAGCCCCTGGTGACTGGGTGAGTCACAGGGGAAGGTGGGGGGCAGGGAACACACACCCGGATTAGTTAGCTCAGAGTTCAGGACTAGGAAAAGATTAACAAGGGCTCCACTTCTCTGCCTCGGCTGTTTTTTTTTTTCATAGAATCACAAGCCTGAAATGGTTTGGGTTGGAAGAGAGCTGAAAGCTCATCTTGTTCCGCACACTGAAGGTGAAAATTTAAGGCCCATTTAAGGCCCATTGTATTTTGGGCCAGAGTGACTTGCAGAATGGGTTGTATGTAACTACTAAAAGCAATTACTGTACCTTAAAAATAGGATAGCAGACCATGAAAACCAGAGCTACACTACACCAATACTTACCCTAAATGATGTGGAACAACACAGGAACTACACAGGAGCACACTCCTGAAAAATCTGCCCCCAAGTTTAAACTGAATAAAAGCTAACCCTGCCCTCAGGCAGTAGGAAATCATTTCCCCTCTGTCCTGTCATTCCATCACTTGTCCCCAGTGCCTGAAGGGCACTGAAAGTCTCCTGTGCCTGTACTTCCTGAAGCCCTCGTGTCCTTCCATTCCAACACTCAGAGCAGCCATCCCTGCACATCTCCACCGTCCCAGTAGGATCAGACTTCCACTGGAATCCTTTTTCTCACTACACTGCCCCAGCAGCAGCCGAGCAGTTTGTGTGACGGCAGAAAGTAGTCCAAAGGTTTACCACTTTCCCTTGTTTTTGCACCCTGAGCCGCCGGAATATCGTAAGAGATTGCGGCTTTGCTCCCTCTAGGATGCTGACTAATGGGGAAAAAATGCAAGATGGAGAAGCCAGAGCACCCCTGGGAAAACAGTTCCTGAGGGTTCCTACCTACACCAGGACTTTTTGAAACCGATTTTGAAGAGAACGAACGGCGAAAATAAGAGGCGGTAAAAACTAAAAGTTCTGAGAAAGCTGCTTCTGAGAAAGCCCGGTCCCCGGCAGACCAGGCTGTTAACAAACCACACAGGAGAACCTGCCTGTGGTTTACTCCGTCGCGATTCGGTCACGAGGAGGTTTCGCCGGCGAAGCTGTGCTGGGAGTGTCTCCCAGTCGCTTCCTCCTCCTCCGCTCTCGGCCCTCCCCGGGCTTTATAAGCTCTGCCTTGGCCGCCTCTCATCGATTCTCTGAGTCACCACTCTGGTGCTCGGTTGTCCCGTCCTGGCTGAGCCGCTCCCGAGCCTTTCCCGAGCCTGTCCCGTTCCGTGTCCGCCTCCTGCCAGCCCCATGCCCGTCCATCCCGCTCCACTCCCACCGCGCACGATGTTCCGGACCCCCCGACGGCTCTGCCTCCTCCTCCTGCTGCTCCTCGCGGTACGTGGGGACGGGGGTCGGGTGTGGGGACCCCCCGGGAAGGGGGTTAGGGGGGTCCCGGACCCCCATCGGGGCTGCCCGGTGCTGCGGCGACATGCCCGGACTTGCCGCGCCGTCGAGGGGCACGGAGCGCCGGGCTGGGACGGGGTCCAGCCAGGGGAAACAGGGGGAGAAAAGTGTTTTGGGGCTGCCCTGGGCCGGGGTGAGGGTTCAGCCGGCCGCGGGGGAGGGGAGGGGCTGTGTGAATAGTGGGGAGCAGGAGGCTGCGGGTTTACCCCAGGGGAGCAGCGGATATGGGGAGGGGGTGTCTCTTTAGCAGCGAATGTGCGGGGAGGGTCGGGGGGGGAGCGGTTCTTACGAGTCGGGGGGACGTTGGGGCTCACCTGCTCCAGGGGCCATGGCGGGAGCGCGGGGGGCTCACCTGCTCTGGGGGCTACGGGGAAAACCGGGGGGTGCGTGGGGGCTCACCTGGTCCAGGGGATTGGAGGCGGGGGGGACGAGGGGGACGGTGTGCCCTGGGGGCACAGGTGGTGGACAGGGGGGCTTCGCACGGTGCAGGGCCAGGGGAGGGGAGCAGGGCCGTGGAGGGCGTTCACCTGAGCAGGTTCGGGGGCGTGCAGGGCACAGGGCAGGTGTGGGGCTGAGGCCGGGACGGGGGGTGGGGGCGCGGAGGAAGCAACGATGTGAAGGGGGAACGAGAAGAGGGTGATTTCAGCCGTGCGGGGCAGCGGAGGGCACGTACTCCTGGCGCTGCCCCTCGGAGGTGACGGGAGGCATCACCGGTGGCAGCCGGAGCGGGAGCACAGGGGATTTCCAGCGCCGCGCTCCCGAGCCTTGTGCCGTTCACCGTCCCGGGATGTTTCACCGCATCGGGGGCGGGCGGCTCTGGGCTGCCCGGGGCAGGAATGCTGCCTCTCCGACTTGCCCAAGTGATGTCCAAGCCCTCGGCACCGCCGTCTTTCAAGACGGAAAATCCCATTTGCGCGTATCAAATTCCCTCACATATGGATTGGGCGCTTGCTGCTGTTGAAATGCCTAAACTCTGTTCTCACCTGGAGTCAGGGGGGTCCTGCCCCGAGTTTGATCCCGGGGCTGGCCTGTAATCCCACTCCCAGTGGACACGTGGGAGCTGCTCCCACCCTGGAATTGTTCCCACTGACAGCACCACTGCCCAGAACAGGTTTTTAAGGAGAATCAAGTGATCATCCAGTTCCTTTCCTGTACTGTTTCTCAGAGTTTATTTTGATTGGCTGCATAAAATCAGGCCTTACCAAACCCATCAGCTACGGGCACGCGGGCACGCTCTTGTTTTTTTTTTTAACTTTCTATCCCCTTTTTTTAATAAAAGGGGAGGGGAGCTGACCGGGAGGGGTGATCATACGACACTTGTGGCCATGTGGCCTTTGTTGCATCATGCTGGACCCGGACCACGGCCTGTCCGAGGGGGATGAGCGGGTGGATATCGGCGTCTGTGATCCCGGGAGCTCACATTCCATTGGGGGAAGTCCAGGGGAAAATCCCTGCGTCAGTCAAACCTGTGCCCTTGGAGCAGAGGTGTCTGTGTGTGGGCCTGGCATGTCTTTTGTCCCCAGGCCTGCCTTGCTGCCGTCAGGGGCTGTGGGTTAATGCTTTGTGGATGTTCAGTGATGCTCAGGAGTTCAGCCAGGGGGGTCCTGTCCTCTGCTGCAGGGTCCAGCTCCTTCCTGGGATCACTTCAGGAGAAAAGTGGGGGATGGGAGAAGGGAAAGCTCAAAGCCTGATGCTTTTCAGAGCCTGATCATCCAGAAGGAAGAGGTTGAGGGGGCGGGTATTGAGGATTCCTGTGCTTGGTGATTCCTCTGCCTCGAGGCAACGTGGTTTTCCTGGCGTTGTTTACTGTGGGTGAAAACTGAATTCTCCTGAGTTCTGTTGTGTCTTGCCCATGGCTGGTTTCTCCCCCACGGGTTGGTCAGGGCAGCAAGGTGCTGGGGGCTGATAACCTTATCGAGCACTTGTTGCTCTTACAAGTAAAGCAATGAAATCCCGTGTCTAAGGGGCCTTTCCAGACAGCAGATGACACTGCCTTGTTGCTGTGACCACCCTCACAGCCTGGCAGAGTTCGAGGGGGGGAAGAAAAGATATTTGTTTTCCCTGTGGAGACAGCATGGAAGTGGGACAGGTTGTCCTGTCCTTCACTTCCACCCACCAGAGTGGGTGAAGGCCTGAGAGCTGCTTGTGGCTGGAGCTGCTCAATTGGGTAAAAAAAAAAAAGCACTTTACAAACTTGCAAAGCCTCCCAGCAGGAGAAAGGAGAAGCAGAGTGTGCTGGTTTGAAAGCAAACCAGTGGGAGAAATGAACCCAACTCGAGAGAGATCACAAGTCAGGAGTTACAATTTACTAAAAAGATTACAATAAATACAATGATGCAGAGAAAAACTGGTTTTAATCCCCTAAACAACTGTATAACCCAGCACCCTGGGACAAGAACAGGGTGGTGTTTGTCAACCCCTGTGCTGAGCACCACATGGCCACCCCTGGGTGCAGAGTAAAAGCAAAGGAAAACCTGTTGGTCCAGGTGATGGTCAGAGTCCTGTTGGAGTGATGATCACAGGCAGTCCTGTTGGAGTTCTGGTGCCAGAAGTCCCAAAACCCTGAGATTATATATGCCCAGCTTCAGGTGGGAATGTCCAGGGCGGGGAGTTTTACAGTGGGTGATTTAACTCTTTGAGTTGTGAGATATTTTTGGAATTTTGGGTGTCTGGACCTTACAGCTGCCTGCTATGCCAGTCCAGTACAGCCCATTAGCAGAGATGCCTCCTCAGGCTGGGGGTGAAGGTGCTGATGCCTCCCCTGAGGGGAGTTATCACAGCTCACTCATTAGTGAGAAGACAAAGAAACACTCCTGGCAGAGTTCTTTAACTCCCAGCTTGCAGCCTGAGGTGCCAGGTGTGCCCTGGGCAGCTGCTGGGAATGATCCATCAGAAATGGCAGAGAGGGGGTAGAACACACACTTTTGGTTATACCCACATAGTGACACACTGGTCCTGGCCCCTGTAACTCGGACACAGCGCCAGAAGCTGCTGGAGAGATGTGGATTTGATCCCTCCAAGGCCAGGGATGGAGATGACCCCGTTCCCAGGCTGGCCGGGGCTCGGGGGGATCTGTGCCGTGGTGCTGGTGGAGCTCTGTCCTCCTGCCCATGGCCAGGCTGTTCTCAGTGGTGCTGTTTGTGGATCACCCTCTGCAGCCCCGTGACCACCTGACCCGCTGAGGGTGGTTTTGGCACTCCTCCTTCTCGCTGTCCAAGTGTGAGAAGCATCCGGGGCGGAGGTGAGGGATCAGGAGCTGCGCTGAGCTGTTGTGCTGTGGGGGCTGGTGGCGCAGGGGACAGGCCAGGACCGGGACTGGCGTCTCTATTGTTCTGCCTCTCCAGGCAACTTCTGACTCACGGGAGAAATATTTGCTGGAAGAGGCAGATTTTGTGCTCCCTGCTTCAGGGGGGAAGGGGAAAGTGCCTCTTCCAGGCTGTCACTGTCGTGATATGTCATTACCTGCACACTGTGGAGGGGGTGAAGGCTGGAGGTGGGGGCAGGTTCATACCCCTTGATGCCCGTGGAGCAGCTCTGTGCTGGCTGAGAGGCCAAGGGCATCGTCCCCCTTGGGTTAGGATTAGGGTACATTGGGGTACCCTAAAAGCCTCCCAGATGCTGAGGGTTGTCCTCACTGCAGCTGGAGCGACCCAGCCAGGGCAGGAAGAGCTGAGCCGGCAGAAAGGGCGGGCAGAGCCGGCGGAAACGTGGCTGTTGTGTTCCTGATCCGCTGCAGGATAACAGGGATAACAAGGCAGAAAGAGGCAGTGATGTCCCCTGGGAGCCTCCAGCAGTCTTGTGGGCGCAGGAGCCATGGACCAGCCTTGACACAGGGCCGGTTTCCTCCCACAGACCTGTTCCTCTTCCCTGCCCTTCCCTCGATTTTGGGGCTCAGTTGGTGCGCTCAGAAATTGGGGAAGGAAAAGGGGTCTGGTGTTATACTAAGGAAGCGTTAGGGAGGCTTTGCCTTGCTGATAACCTGGCATGGGGGAATCCCCCTGCCAACGCTTTGCCAAGGAAATACCTCCCTGGTGGAGGGGAGGTGCCCTTTGCCTGCACCAAGGTTTAGTCACTGGCCCCAGAGCTGTCCCAGAGCTCACCCAAGCACAGTGGGCACAGCAACTCTGGCCCTTCTCTTTCTTCTCCTCCCCATGGACTTGGGGTGGTTTCTAACCCAGGTTGTTCTGCGTTTTTTGACAGAGAGCTGCTTTTGGAACTGATGCGGCAGCACTGAGCAGAAGGGACCATTTGGATCCCTCGGAGCCAAGCAGGGGAGGGACAGACTTGTACTACGTGCAAGAGAAAGGTCTCAATTGCCAGCCGTGTCCCGCAGGTAGGGTGGTCTCACAGCGATCCCTCCGTGTGCAGCCTCACCGTGTTCCTGCTGGACAATCCCTGCCCTGCTCCTGCTGGACAATCCCTGCCCTGCTCCTGCTGGTCACGCTGGCTTTGATACAGGCCAGGTGCCCTTGGCCTTCTTGGCCACCCAGCTGGCAAATCACCCCCCTCCTCTCTGCTCAGACACCTCCTCCCTGCCCTGTGTGCTCAGAGCTGCCCTTCCTCTCGCAGGCACCCACCTTGCAGATTTCTGCACAGAACCGAACGGCTCCAGCGAGTGTTCTCCCTGCAAGGGGGAGGAATTCATGGAGTACCCCAACGTCTTCCACTCCTGCTATGAGTGTCGGAAGTGCAGGGAAGGTACGAGCTGCTGGGGAAGGGGGCAGTGCTGGCTGATGGAGGGTCCCCTGTGGTGTCCCCAGGGGCTGGCTGGGAGCTCGGGGTCGGAGGAGCCGGCACAGAGCCGTGTCTGCTGTCCCCCACAGATCAGGTGGAGCTGAGTCCCTGCCAGGCCACCAGGAACACGGAGTGTGCCTGCAAGGAGGGCACCTTCTGCGACCCGGACCTGCCCTGCGAGATGTGCGAGAAGTGCCAGCCCCGGTGAGCTGGGGTGGCCGCGGCGGGTCCGTGCGGGCAGCTCGGCTCCAGCTGCTGAGCCTGCCCTGTCTCCTCCTTTCCCAGGTGTCCCGAGGGGCAGGTGGTGCTGTCTCCCTGCACTCCTTACAGGGATCTCCAGTGTGGTCCTGCCACGGGCACCGGCTCCTCCTGTAAGTAGAGGAGGGAGGGTGGGCTGGGGGATGGAGGTGGGAGCTGCTGCTGAGGGGACCAGGAGCAGCTCCCACACCTGTTTTTTTGTGCTTTAGACCTCTGGATTATCATCCCGGTGGTGATCCTGGTCGTGATTGGGCTCTTAATCTATAAATACCTCTCCTGTTGCCCAGGTGAGCACCGGGTGCAGGGGACCCCCAGAGCACTCGCCTCGGCCGGGGGCTCTGCAGTGGCGTGGGCTGGGTGGGAAAAGGGACCTGCCTGGGGAAAGAGGACTCACAGCACTGTTTCCATCTTCCAGGGAAGGGGAGAAGCCTGAGCACGAAATCCTCCAGTTTGAAGGTGAGCTGCTGGGATGGCAGCAGGGTGGTGGCTCTGTTTGTGGGGCTGGGGTGAGGTTCCCCCAGCCTCTGCTCCCCACTTGGCCTGCAGCTCCTGGGGAGGCTGGAGGAGCAGGGGGATGAGTCTCACTCCTGCAGGGATGCGGTAGAGGGACCAAGCAGAGTGGTCCCTCTTCCCCTGGCAGAGCTGCTGGCACACCCAGGGTCCCCAGTGGAGACCCCAGGGTAAAGGGAGGGCTGTGCTGTGCCAGAGCTCCTTCAAGCTCGGGATAAGCAAGCAGGCCATTCCCTTGAGCCCATGGCAGGGCAGGTGCTGCAGCTGGAATCCCTGCAGAGCCACCCAACGTGGTCTGTGCTTCTCTCCTGCCACAGAACTACCTGATTCAAAGGCTGAGCTGGTACAGGAGGGTGAACGTGGGGACACAGGACAACGACCTCAACGAGCAGCGCTCGCGGGACCAGCCGCTCCCCGTGGAGTCCCAGGTACAGAGTGACCCTCTGCCCTGCCCTGCCCTGCTTGGCCAAGCTCTGATGCTTCCCTCTGCCTTCCCCAGGCTCATCAGCTTGGGGGGAGTCCAGGGCTGGACCACGTTATCCTCAGGGAGGTCACGAGGGGTCTCCTGTCCTTGTTCTGGGTTCGGAGCTGCAAAACCTGCTCCTTGCAGTCGACTGCCAGAGCCCTCTGTGGGTTTAAGGCTGCTGCTGAGCAAACAGCTCTCCTCTCCCTGGCCAGGGCTCCACGAGGCAGATCTCCCTGCTTGTGGCCTGCTGCCATCCCAGAGCTAGGAAACCTGGATGTCCTGGGGGTGGAGGGGGGTGTCCTGCCCCAACAGCCCCTGGAGAGAGGGAGAGGGTCTCCAGTCCCCACACTGGGAGGCTTGGGGACAGTGTTTGTGCCAGGGCTTGGTGGGTGCTACAGACACTGCCATTGCAGGTGATGCTGCAGAGTGCCCCCTGTCCCAGGGAGAGACCCAGGAGGGATCTGGTTCCACAGACAGGGAAAGAGCCCATTCCGGGTAAGTGCTGGGGCCCAGTGGACGTGCTGGGGGGGCAGAGGGGGTGGGATTTCTGACCCGTTCTCTGAGCTTTCCCCTTCCCCTCCAGCTCTGCGAGGCACTTTCTACATCTTTGCTGGAATCAACTCCATCTACTGGAAGAAATTCGGCCGGAGCCTCGACGTGCAGGAGAACGATCTGCCCTTAGACCGGACCCAGGACTCCTTCTATGAAATGCTCAACAAGTGGCTGGAGAGGGAAGGCTCCAAGGCCTCTGTGAACACGCTGCTGGAGACCCTGGACCAGCTCGATCTCAGTGGGGTTGCAGACGACATCTCCTCTGAACTGGTCAGGAGGGGATTATTTAAACCCGCAGAAGCCGAAGAGCAAGGCGGGTCCTGCGTCTCCATTGCTTGACCTAAAGCCGTGAAATACCTCCCAGGAGACATGAATTTTAGCTGTTTGTAGCTCTGCCACGGCTCTTCTCTCTTGGAAGCCGTCGTAGACTTCAATTGAGCCAGGAGGAGCTGATCCTCTCGGGAAGTACGAACTTCGTGGTCCTCCCCCTGTTGCAGCTCCAGGCTCGCTGTCGGTGCTTCCTTAGAAATTCCAAGTGCTTTCTTGGTTGCACTGGATGATTCACTGGTTAGTTTCTGTTGGCTAAGTTGTGTTTTAAGTTCAGTTACGTTAATGGTTCTGCTTGCTGTTAGGAACCAGTTTGAAAGTGGACTTGGAGGAGAGAGTGGGAACGATTTACTTGCACTACAATCACTGGGGTAGCCTAAGAAGAGGGACAGTGCAGGGATCATTTAGTCCAACCCCCCTGCCACGAGAAGGGACATCTTCCACTAGACCAGGTAGCTCCAAGCCCTGTCTAGCCTTGACCTTGAATGTTTCTAGGGATGGGGCAGCCACCACCTTTCTGAGCAACCTGTGCCGGTGTTTAACCACATCTTCATTTGAAAAGGGTTCTCCCCAATGTCTAATCTAATTGGACCCTCCTTCAGAATGAAGCCATTCCCATGTCCTGTTACTCCAGGCTCTTGTCCCCAGTCCCTCTCCAGCTCTCCTGGAGCCCCTTTAGGCCCTGGAAGGGGCTCTCAGGTCTCCCTGGAGCCTTCCCTTCTCCAGGTGAACCCCCCCAGCTCTCCCAGCCTGGCTCCAGAGCAGAGGAGCTCCAGCCACTGGAGCATCTCTGTGGCCTCTGGACTTACTCCAGCAGCTCCACCTCCTTCTGATGTTGGAGACCCCAGAGCTGCAGGTGGGGTCTCACCAGAGCTGAATAGAGGGGAAAAAAATCACCTCCCTGGACCTGCTGATGGCAGTTTAGTTCCGTTCCCTTGGCTGTGGGGTGGCTTTGCAGTCCCTGTGTCTCCAGGCAGCGTGGAAAGGTGAATGCACTGAAGGTCTGAGAGTGACCGTGGGTACCTGCCATCCATCCCCCAGCTGCATGGGTTGCTTCTCAAGCACTTCCCCTCTCACACATAGCTCAGGGACAATTTAGCTGGAAAAAATACTGGATTACTTGAGCTGGCTAGATGTGCTGCCACCCCAGTACAGCCCAGTCCATCAGGACCTTCCCCAGAGTGGTGGGAGCAGCCCAGGGCTGCCCTTTGCTACCCATCACTCACACCTCCTGCTCCCACTCCTTCTCCCCTGCTCAGTGCCACTGAAAAAACCACGTGGACACAAGCAGGAGTTGTGTATTTATGTATTTATTTACCAACTGTTTACATGTTAACTTAAAAGTTAATATAAAAATATTGGTATTTTGGTATGCATGGTTGTGTGTGTTTATACAGAGCTCTGGCCCAGCCAGTTTGTTTATATCCAGTTTTTACATTTCTCTTTATGAAGGAAGAATTAACTTTTTTTTAAAAAAAAAAAAAAAAAAATCCTCCTGATTTCTCGTCTGGTTTTATTTCCCTCCCTCCCCCCACACACCCCGTGCTCTGCCAGGGTTTCAGTGGGCACCAAAGGAGCTGGACCAGATGCTCAGCAGCTGCTCCCTGTGGTGCCAAGGACCCAGCCCATGGAATTCGTGCATCCCACTGGGAACGCTCCCTGCCAGCGACGCTTCTGCCAGGGGAAAAAGCCCTCAGCAGCCAACCTGGCCTCTGCCTTTACCCCTACACCATGAGTCCTGTGCTCTTTGCTCCCTGCAAGGATAGGAGGGTGAAGTCTGTCCCTCGTGCAGGGGGTGGGACCCCGGGGCTGACCCCGGGGCCGGAGCTGCTCCGGCTCCACCCAGCCAGGGCTCTGTGTGCTGCAATAGCTGTGTGGCAAATCCATGCAGTGCTTTAAGTGAGAAGAGGGCTCTGCTGGCCCCAAAAAAAGCCCCTGGGGCTGCCCACCAGCCCCTGCACTGCAGTCGGGGTTTATCAGCAGCGCTGGGGCAGGTGCAAAAAGCGGGAGCTCTCAGTGCCCTGCCAGGAGGGTTCATGCTCAAGGGCCTGTCCTGGGCAGCCCCCTCGTGCCTGCTGAGCATGCAAACCTGGGCAGGGAGCTCCTGCAGAGCCAGGCACATGCAGGATGGAGGGCTGGGACACGGGAGCCTGGCCTGGGGGAGGCACGCAGGACCGGGCGCCCCGAGAGGAAAGGGAAAGAAACTTGTGGTCCTACCTGCTCGCTGGGGCTGCAGAGGGTGAGAACACCCGGGGTGAGCTCGCTGGAGCTGCCACCTCGCTCCTGCATCCACGGCCGAGGGGGGAGCATGCGGAAATGAGAGGCTCCAAGGTGCTCTGGGAGGCCAGCTGGGAAGAGGAGCAAGGTGGAGTGGGAGGGGACACACCGGGAGCATCCCTATGTGCTCCTTCCCCATCCCAGCTGGGGAGGGCGAGCGGAGGGTTTGGGTCCTTCCTGGCCTGCCCTGCAAAGCCCTGGGGCTGTGGACCTGCAGGGACACAGGTGGGACACGCAGAGTTAGTCTGATGGGAAAGCCACCTCTCTCTCCTTGTACCAGGGGTTTCGATGGATGGATCCTGCAGTGCTGTCCTGTCCCTGTCCATCCCAGGAGCGCTGGAAGGGGGGTGCTGGTGTCACCCCAAGCAGGGCACAAGGAGGTGCTGTGTCCAGGCGCTCCCTCCCAAACACACAGGGACCACGCCGGGCTTTGAAAATACCATTTATTCCAGGCTAAAAGCCCAAGCCGAGGGCCTGGGGTTGGTTTCTGGTGTGGCAGGTTGGGGGAGTGGGTTTGGGATCGGGTTGTTTTTTGTTTTTTTTTTTTTTGCTTTAAGTTTTCCTTTTAAAACAAAAAGAATGGGGAGGAGAGGACTCCAGTCCCCTCCACGCCCTGAATTAGGGACAGACCCCACTTGTAGGGGAATATGCTGCAGTGCCTGGAGGCACATGGGGACCAGGATCCCCTGCACTGTGCCTGACCCTGCTGTGAGTCAAAGGGGGTGGCAGGACCCCCACAGATGTCCAGGTGCCATCAGACACACAAACCATATCCCAACAGCTTCTGGTTACAAATCAAAGTGGAAGCGGGATGCGTTTCTTCTTCTTCTTCTCCTTCCTCATGCTGCCGATGTTCCAAACAAACAAAACAACAACAACAAAAAAAAGAAAAATCCAAAACAAAAGCACAACACAGCCCTCGTGCTCCTGTAAACATGAGTTTCTCCTGCTGCTCGGGCTCTGCCAGTCCTGCGGCGCTGGCACGGCGGTGCGGGGAGAGCAGGGCTCCAGGAGCACCAGGGGCTGGCCCTGAGCCCCCCCAACAGGGACAGACCCCCGTGGCCACCAATCTCCTCGGGGGCTTTGGCCCGCGGCGTCCGCTGCACGCCTGGCGCTGGGGCAGGTCACCCCCTGCTTCCTCCTCCTCCTCCTCCTCCTCCTCCTCCTCCCCGTCTCCTCCCAGGGATGCTGGAGCCAGGGCAAGGACGGGCTTTCAAACCACAGCCGAGGAGGAGGAGGAGGAGGACGAAGAGGAGGCTGTGGCTGCCGACGACGAAGGAGAGGAAGAAGGGGAGGAGGAGGCGTTCCAGAAGAGCCACCGCCTCTTGGGCTGCCGTTTGAGGTGGAGGTAGTCTTCCTTCTCCCGCTCCTTCTTCGCCCGCTGGTAGTGATCCTCCTCCTTCAGGTACCACACCGGCGGCCAGCGGTGCTTCTCGAAGTACTCCTGGTTCTCTGCAGGGAGATGGTTGGGGGGAGCAGGGGGGTGAGGGCAGTGCCAGGACCACCAAGACCCCCCCTTGTCATCCCACCCTGGCTCCCACTGACCTCCCGACATGGCCTTCATGTCCCGGGGGAACTTGCGGCAGACGTTGTTGTAGTTGGTGCAGATGTGATGGAGGCACCAGTCGGCGAGCTGGTAGGCGCAGTGGAACTGCAGGAGATGGAGCCCCACGTCAGAGACCCCAAGTGTGGACCAGCAGGAGGGATTCCCCCTATTTCTCCACCGACAGCCAAGACCCCGCTTGTCCCCTTGCCAGGGCAGTATCACCCACCCCCACACCCAGAGCCGCCAGACCCCTGTGTGTGTCACCACCCAGCACCTCGTGCCTCCCCAGCCCTGCCAGCACCGGGGTTCTGTCCTACCTGAGCCAGCTCCAGGAACACGAGCACATCCCCGTCGATGTCCACCATCATCTGGGCCGCCTCCATCAAGCCGGTGACCGTGTACTGCTCTGTTGGGGGACACACACGGGGTCACAGGGAGGCTGGGGCAGGGGGACACCCAGCTTGGGGACAGCGGGGTCACTGCCCTGCTGCAGCCCCCCTAGGCTCACCTGTGAGAGCCACCAGGTGCGGCAGGCAGAGGCGGTTGGCGAGGATGATGAGCTTCATGTCGTCGAGGTCGGGGCTGGAGCTGAACTGCCCCGTGTACAGGTACTCCAGCACCGCCCGCATGCAGCTCTTGCTGGTGTGAGGAAGTGCCACCTGTGAGATACACACACACACACACACATATGTGGTGTCACCTCCTGGCCGTGCCCACCTGTCTCCCAGGACAACCCCAGGACCCCTCCTCACCTCGTTGGTGGAGCTCTCCACGAAGGGGCCACCGAACATCGCGGCCATCCAGTCGCAGCTGGAGATGAGCAGGGGCTTGTGGGCACTGATAGCACCGTCATCCAGCACGAAGGTGACATCTGGGGACAAGCAGAGCGATGCTACCGGGGCTGCCTCCATCACCCGTGGCTCAGCCACCCCCTGCCACAAAGTGTCTTGCACCAGGAAAGGGGTGGAGTCTGGCACATCCTATATTTTTCCTTTGAAAATCTCCATCCTTTTTTCCAGCTTCCCCCACCAGCTCAGAGGGCTTCCCTGAGCCCCAGCAGTGCTCAGGCTGCTCTGAGAGATTTTCCCAGGTCATTCCACAACACATTTAAAAGCAAAGGGCAAACCAAGGAAGCAAACATCTCGCCCACGTTTGAGTCCTTGGAGAACTGGGAAGGACGCTGGGGAGCTCCTGCCCCCACTCCTCTGCTCTCCATAGCTTCTCCCAGGGGTGTGCCATGGGCCAGGACACAGCTGTCCCCTCACAGTGACAGCCTGACCACATTAGGATGAATCTTCACGAAACAAATCCAGCCGGAGGGAGGCTGGGACATTCACATCCCCCTGGGATGTCACCCCGTGCTGGTGGCCCGTGGTGCTCAGGGGAAAGCTGGGGAAATTCTGCTAAGGGCACTTGCTCCTGATAAATCAGATGACCCAGAGAAAAATCTGAGCTGGGAGGGAAGGAAGTCGCCTTTGCTGCGCTTCCATAAATAAACAGAGGTGCCGGACGGGCTGGGAGCAGGAAACCCTGGGGAAGGGCCCCTACACTCACTTTCTTGGGAAAAAAAGCAGCAGTAAAAGGTCCCAGAAAAGCGAAGTGTGAAAATCCCGGGAGAGGAGAGCAAACACCTGCTGACCCACGGCACGGCCGCTCACACGCAGGGCAAACCCAGGAGCCCCCCATCCACCCCTCAGAGCCCCCCACGGGGGAACAGGGTCCCTGCAGTCGTACCCGAGAAAGTCCCCTTGGCCAGGCATTCCTTCACCCGGTTGGTCCTCCGGACGTGGAAGGCTTTGGTGATCTCCTGGTTCATGAACGCCTCGTTGTTGAGGATGTTGGCCACCATCATCCGGAGGTCGAAGACCTCCAGCAGCTCGGCGATGTGGGCGATGTGCATGAGGTCCCGCTCGTTCTCATCCAGCTCCCCCGTGTACAGGTACTTCAGCACGGCCCGGAAGGGGCCCGGCTGGATGGAAGCGTCCATCTTCACCACCACCATCAGCTTGGACTTGTAGGTCAGCGGGTCTTCGGCCATCTCCTCCTGGATGCTGGTGAAAGCCCGGCTCCACGAGGAGAGGTTCCTGCCCCGCCGCAGCCCGCGCTCGCCGTTCTCGTAGCGGTTGCCCCGCAGGATGCCGTCACTGGTGGAGGCTCTAAGGCACGGTTTGCGCTGGCCGGAGCCGGCCTCCTCGGTGCTCTCGCAGATATCGAAGCTGGCGGCCCTGAGGAGGAAATCCCGCCCGTGGTGCCTCTCCTCCTGGTGCAGCATCCGCTCGGCGGCCGCGGTGACGGCCACCCCGAAGCCGTGCCCCGCGGCGCCCTGCTGGTCCTCCTCGCTCAGGTCCATGAGGAACAGGTCGTAGAACTTGGAGGAGGAGGTGGAGAGGTAGATCTTG